ATTAGGTCTATATTAAGATAGAATAAAATAACAGGTCAGTGAAGATCCTAAAAATGCCTAAGAGATACAACTTTAAAAATGGAGAGTCCAGACTCCCTTCAGCAAAACCATGTGGTTGATTTTTGCCCTTATTTTAACTTTCTAAAATTGATGGGGTCAGGGTGGAACATAACCGACTGGGCCCTGAATCGGCATAATGCAGACATTTTATCTTTACGAATCATATTAAATTCGACAGCACAAGATCCGCTGATGTTGACATAACCAGTTGGTGCCTGGATAGAACGAAATATGCAACCAAAGCCTAGAATGTACATTTGAACTATTCTACCAGGACCAGCCTGCGCAGAGCTTAGCGTCATAGGGTTTTTATGAAAGCAGAGCAATGTGGTAATCAACTATCAAACATAATATACCGGAAGACAAAGGCTAAGGATATAATATCTAATTTACCTTCTACGAACTTTCTGAACTGGGTTTCACTAGCGTTTATGGCTGGTCACCGTCGCTGAAAACTTCAACCAACTCGGCCAGGCAACTGGGTCTCTTGTAATCGATATACAAACAAAATGTTTGAGTAAGTGATCAGGTGTACCCTTATGTAAACACTCGTGCGAAGAGAAATTGTACAGGATATTATTGTCTTACAAACCGCAAATGTCGATGACTAACCATCATACATGAGACAGTCAATAATCGAATCTGATGCAACCCCATGTAACTTGGAAATCCAGCTGATGGTCGAATCCAACGGGAGAACGGTCACATACATGTTCCACCCCACCGCCCCCACACAGATTTGACACTAGGCCTACATGTTTTTAAATTTCAATACAGCAAACTTCATGTATTGAAATACGAAAAAGCAGAATACAAATACAAAATGTTTTAATAGAGCCTACAACATTCGTTATACTTACTGCTGTTAGCGCTTCCCAGTTTTCCGATAATTTGGTGCCCCACCCATCTTCCCATTCTGAAAATTCTGGATCCGCGCTTCCCAGTTTTCCGATAATTTGGTGCCCCACCCATCTTCCCATTCTCAAAATTCTGGATCCGCCCCAGAGTGCATTGTATGCATGCAACGAAGGCTTTTGTTTTTTTTAAATTTTATTAGTGATAATATTGTTACACCATTCGTAACAAATTGTTATAGTAGCATATATTATACATATTAAGTCATAACAAAATTTTCTGTAGGAACCTACTCAAATATGTACAGTATTTATATCACTTGATCATGTAAATATTGCCTAATAATATCTCCGGTAAAGATTGTGTCTCTTAAAGCTAACCTGTCATAAATAGTACCCGAATTTTCAAGTCTCTGACTCTAGATATGTTTGTTTAGAATAAGCGCCCCGTTTGAATAAGCGCCCCTATTGAATAGACGTGAAAATTGTCTTAAGCGCCCCTCGATTTCTAAAAAAAATCAATCATACAGTACAGTACATCACCAACTTAATTTTCTGCATCAACTATTCGCATCTACCTTAGCATTGTCGGTGGGTCAGTCCAGCTATCCATCAGTCGGGCTCTCAGTCTCCGTTAAGTTTAACATGATTTTCAGTTTTGATGCATCTTCAGAATTCCGTTCTTTTTTTATTGCTACCATATTTTTGTAACAAATTGTTATAGTAGCATATATTATACATATTAAGTCATAACAAAATTTTCTGTAGGAACCTACTCAAATATGTACAGTATTTATATCACTTGATCATGTAAATATTGCCTAATAATATCTCCGGTAAAGATTGTGTCTCTTAAAGCTAACCTGTCATAAATAGTACCCGAATTTTCAAGTCTCTGACTCTAGATATGTTTGTTTAGAATAAGCGCCCCGTTTGAATAAGCGCCCCTATTGAATAGACGTGAAAATTGTCTTAAGCGCCCCTCGATTTCTAAAAAAAATCAATCATACAGTACAGTACATCACCAACTTAATTTTCTGCATCAACTATTCGCATCTACCTTAGCATTGTCGGTGGGTCAGTCCAGCTATCCATCAGTCGGGCTCTCAGTCTCCATTAAGTTTAACATGATTTTCAGTTTTGATGCATCTTCAGAATTCCGTTCTTTTTTTATTGCTACCATTTTTTAAATATTTAGAACAACTAGTATTTAATAGGGCTATCTAAAAATGAAAAAACTGTATGGCCATTTTCAGTCAACAAAAATTAAGACTTCATCACTCTCGTATCTAAGCAAGAAACCCTGCAATGATCCTGCTATTTCTGAATTGGCAGATCGCCAACACGCTTACCACCACCACTAATTTGCTGTTGTGTACCTCAACATTCTTGTCATGAGCCATGCTCTCTCGACGATTACCTTTTCTTCACCAAAACCATTCGTTTATCTTCGATTTAAAAAAAAGTGCCCCTTGAATATTCCAATTTCCCATAAGCACTTCTTCAATTCTCATCTATTTCCATAAGCGCCCCCTCAATTTCCACTCTGTTTTCATATGCGCCCCGTTTGAATAAACGCCCCGTTTGAATAAGCGCCCCTCAAAAAGAGTCAAAAATATTTTAAGCGCCCGGGCGCTTATTCGCGCGAATACGGTAATGCAGTTTATTTTTGTTGTAGGTTTTAGGCTAGGGAGGAGAGTTAATTTTATTGTGAAATACTCGGAATCTAATATTTTGCTTGGACTGCAGGCCTACCAATGACGACTGCTGTAATGAGAATCATAACAAGAATTCACAACACAGCATATATGAAGGCTGTAAACAGTTTATGTCAATAATATGTAATTCTGTAAAGCCTTATAAAACTGTATGATAAAACATCTTTGCAAATCAATTTTTATGCCGTGTCATGTTTTGTAGAATTTCCTACAGTGCCTCGTTGTCATAGATAATCATCTTCTATTAATGTCTTAATTGGGTAAAGGCTAATTCATTCTCCATCACTCCCTCTGGGAAGGGGGTTGTTCGATAAATAATGAAAGCGGAACTACAAAGGATCGGATCAGTGGCGTAACGAAGGGGCTGAAAAGGCCTAAAGACAGGCGCTGGATGCCAGAAGGCCGCGAAGGGTCTTCGTGGGTGGGGGGTGGTATGGTGTGAAGCCCCAGATGCTCCGGGTATTTGAGCTTTTTGTGATATATTTTAATGTTTTTCTTTGGCACAATTGTGTTCTTAAATATGTATCGAAATTTGACAAAATAGGCCCATGCGTAGTGTATTGTAATTGAGATAATAATTTATTCGTCTGAAACTTAATTTCTTGTTACAAATTGTTTCATTTTTATTCTATTATATAAAACAAATTATTATTGTAAATAAAGTTTAAAACATTTAATCAAAAGAGGGAATAAACAAATTACTGTTGCATGTTTTATTGGTATTATTGAGAAAATTAACAAAATTATGAAGGTAATTTAAAAAGAAATAATATCGGCGTCATTTGATGTGCTTTTAAAACCGTGATAACATTAAAACCCGTTAACATTAGGCTATTGTTTCGACTATACATTTCCCCAGTATTATTAATTTTTTCTCCTTTACTGTCGCAATCCACTGGCACAAAAAGTTTTATGCAGTCCACCAATAATTTTTGCTCATAGTCATAAACATGCGCAGTAATGAACTTCGTATTTAATTATTGGACTCGTCCCATGCGAGTAATGGAAAGAAATCGCATTTTTCGTGAATTCGCCTAGTGTTCCAGTATTTCAACCTACGGCCCGCGGGCCAACTCCGGCCCGCCAGAAAATTGGATCCAGCTCGCTACATTGCTCAAAAATAAATTATTTTCCTGGTCGATATTCGGTTATTGTTGCAAAGGAATTTGCTAGCTAAGTGGAGACGACATTCACGTAAGTAAAATGCGTTACTTAATCTCATCATATAGGAAAACGTTAGAATTAATAGGAATAATGACCCAATTAAGCGGGTTTTTTAAGTGAATAGGAATGTCACCTAGTCTGATAGTGTTAAGATGTGTCAGCTTTTACTGAGTAGTTAACTTTATAGTGGCGTTCAGTATTAATTGACATATGGGGAGAGAGCGAATGATGGGAAGTAAATAATTATTAGGGGGACAGGCTCTGGGTACATGAACCCATTGAGAAATTCTCGACCTTGTTGGGGGAATAAGCCTACATTATTTTAGAAACACACATGCTTTGAAGTGTACGAGGGCCATTTCTAGGCATCTGATGTGTTACTTTAAAAACTTGCTTACCTTAGCCCAAACCTGGTGGAGTTGAGGTAAGCAAGTCCCTTGTTGGTGTTTGGAATATTTCTAAAATTATTTTTTTATGATTATGATTTTTTGACCAGTTTTTCTATGTACATATGAAATATCAGTTCTTTTTATGTCTGATTTATGCGAGAGGTCGCAGCCTCGAGTTCCGTCAGAGGAATTTTATTACATGATAGGCCCCTATTATCTTGATTTATAGGCCTAGTTTATATTGTATTTAATGGCAACCATGTATAATGTATATTTATGTATATACTCCATTATAAAGTGTTATTGAACCAAAAATAAAAACGAAGCATATAGACTAGAATACTATATTATTTTTGTTTATTGCTAGTCCGTTAGCCTTTACCAGCCTTATAAGTTCACAAAGTTCTGATACACATCAAGGTGATATGGAGACCGTAGCCTATCTTCCAGAGGGCCGAAGGAGCAATAGATTTCACTGTTCCCCGAATATAGAGCAGTCAATATTATATACATCATACATAGATTCTACAAGGCCTAAAATAGTATACTTACTTCCTAGCCTGTTATATTAGAGACATACTAGGCCTACTACTACTACTACTCGACTAGCTAGGCCTAGCCTAGGCGATCAAAGAGTGTGATCTTAGCTCTTCTTTGCTTACTTCCTCAATTTCAACAGTACCCATCATCTTGCAATATATTTGTCGAATATTGATAAGACATATTTAGTTTGTCTTTTGGTACATTTGCTATCGGCTTCATCAAGAAGTAATGCTAGACCAAGCTAGTACTCCTTCATTTCGAAACGTGCAGCCTCCATGGCCTATTTGTTTGTCGTCTACTCGCTGATCCGTGACGCGGTCAGAGGATAATCTCGTCGCAGTCCCCTTTTACCGTCAGCAGCGCGATGTAGTGGGCCTAGAGTTGGCACATTCGCGACGCTACAGGTTAAAAAAAATGCTATTTTTGAGGGGAATTATACTTTTTGAGGGGAATTATACTTTTTGAGGGGAATATGTACTTTCCATTTCCTCCCCCCCCCCTCTTCTTAACCAATCAGATGCATAGAATCATGTATGAGGTATATAAAACAGAATAGAACATTTTTCGCGAAATTTGAGAGGAAATTTTCCGATAACCTAGCAAATATCATTGGGGACCTATGCATTTCGCGCGCCGCGTAGTTACCAGTGTGTGCGTTCAGCGCTCTTTTTGACACTAGATAGCTGCTAGGGCTAGGCTAGGCCTCTTAAAGTCCCCCAAAGAGTACTAAAATGGCAAGAGGTCCGACTGCCGGGGAACGCAAAAAGTACTTCCACGAAGAGGCGCGTAACCTTTAAAAGATTCGTACGAGTTTCTATGTGTAGGGCGCCCCATATTTCGTGGCAGTACTTTTAGCTTTCCATTGCCTAGTAACAAAACTTACTGACATACGAAATCAAAGCAGTCGGACCTCTTGCAGTTTTATACTCTTTGAATCCCCCAGTGAGTTGCGAGACGTCGGCAAGATAAACCTGATAAATATGGTCTATACTTGGTCATTTTTTCTACTGTTATATATGTATATATTATCTACCAAAACACTTAAAAACCAGGGGTAAGGTTTTCAAAAAGGATTCAATACAAAATTTACATTATACAATTATTTTATAGAATACAATGTCGATCATAATAAAAATGTCAATATATATTTTTTAGAATTCACAAACATTGCATTCCTAATTAATACAAAATGAAAACAACATTGTTATACGTATTGTTGTACAATAATGTTAAGAACTGAAAAGTAAAATTACAACCAAATTTTAAAAATATTATAAAATAAAATTATTAAATATCTAGATTATCTATCTAAAAAATTATAATTTTAACATGAAACATTTCAGTTTCTTATGTATGTTGTTTTGTTGCTATCGGCACTTCCAAAGCTTCCAGACATTAGTCAACGCCACTTTTGAGCAATTCCTTCTGGTGTTAAATATCATTGTTGTGCGGGTATAATTGAACTGAAGACGAAATAATTGATATGATACGATATATTAGTATTATTATATTTGATCGCGTGGTGTAGCAATAGTTTTATAAGGCTTTGGAACATTTACTATTGCCTGTGGAGAACCACTGACCGCTACCGGACCTTCCACACCTGGTGGCTTAGAGAATTTGTAATTCTGAATTAACCACGTAAAAAGAAGAAAAATCTCTGCTTTAGCCAAGGATTCTCCAACGCACACTCTACGACCAGTGGAGAACGGCAGGAAGCTCGGTAGACGTTGCTTAACAGAGTTGAATGAATCCAAAAATCGCTCTGAATACCAAAAACAAGGAAAAATATCATTGATTGGACCAGATAGACTGAAGAATATGGATAATTAAATCATCCTCCGGCTTTGTTTTTATATATGCACAACGAAAGTCAGAGGATGTGGTGAAATGCGTTGGGTGTTACACCTAACACCCATGATAAACAAGGCTTTAACAAAGATCTTGGCATTTTGAGTGGCTATACGTTCATTGACCATTATTTGATAGCACAGCCATAGTTTATATCAATCTTTCCTATTCTTACATTGTTATACCATGATTTATTCTTAGCTCACCACGCCTACTGTTGAACGCAATATTTTGATTATATGTTCAGTACGTATACGGTAAACGTTGATAAAGAGAGCAGCAGCTCTTGTAATATTCGTAGAATAAATTGTATATCTCGTTAAATGTCAACCGTGTTCATCTTTATTTTGATTAACTTCGTATTGTTTTATACTATTCGGGATATATACATGCACCCATCATTAAGATGCCTCGTCAAAGGTGAATTTAGCAGTGGATGGGATGTCAACTGAACACTCAAGAATGCAACAAGAACTTGAGGAAGCTAAGTTAGAGATTGCAACTATAACAAATGAAAAGTCACAGTTGGAGTTGGAGATGGACAAGCTACTCGACAGAATCAGTGTTTTGGAACAAGAGCAAGTAAATGAGGTTTATTTAACCATTTAAATATGTACTGTCCACTCATGAGCTAAGCAAATTGCTGTCTCTTATACACATCTAGATGTGTATAAGAGGCAGGTGTACGTCTGTCAATTTTCTGGATGTTTCATCATCATTTCCTTGTAATTCTTCTCTCTGTGCTTGTAGAAGTAGCTCTATCAGATCATTAGCAGGCTCATCTGAAGAACATCATAACCTCAATAAAAACGTGATTCTTTTTAAATCGCATATCAGTAGAGATGTGTATAAGAGACAGATATATATACTATAGAACTGGAGGTCGCTGGAACAGAATGTTGCTACTCGGAGTTTCACGCTATTGCGATCGTCAGGCAACTCTATATATATATATATTTTCAATTACCTAAAGGTCCACTGATTAATCTCAGATAAGATAGTATAATACATACTCCAAGTATCATTCCTCATGATGACATAATTAATGTCAAAATATTGAATCCCGACACGATGGCGAGCATTTCGATACTATCATATTTTCAATTTGTTCTGTCATTAACTTTACTGACTATACTATACCTGGTTGGAAAACCTCTGGTGCATCCCAATATTTCGGGTCATTGTGAAGTGCCCATAGGTTAAAGAACACCCACGTATCTTCTGGTATCGTGTACAAGCCTAAAACGTAATAATATTCACTTGATAATAACATTTACTAATATATCTTTTTATCTAACAAAAACATTAAAGAACATGCAGCAAAGTAATACCACTTTTGCTACTTTTACTAGTTCTGCACAAGCTTTTGTGGATTTCATAAAGAGCATGATCAACAAAACCTAAAAAAAAAAAACACCAAAAATATTACAATGTTCCGAAATTTTATGGTTACCTAAAGAGTATGCTTAGTGTACGTAGCAGTGGCGAATTTAAAAAAGTGGCCGGCCCACCCTCCCCTCCTCGCTATTTTTTTTTCTAAATGAAAAAATACATGATGGACAAAGAAAATTATATCCAAATCTTAACTTTCTGAACGTGCCATTTCTGGCGTCCTGAATATTCCTGGTTCCAGCACTACGTGGTAAAACAGATGCAGTTTTCAACGGACGGAATTTAGGATGGTAAAGTAATGAAAACAGGCCTACCAACGCCTAAAATGTGTAGGTTACTCTACGAGTAAAATAGCAAGCACTAGTCGTGTACTTGCTACTACTAGCGCTTATTCTTTGGGGTTACAAAGCGATAACTACTCTCCACTGTAATTATTACTTTCCTCAACTACAGCCCACCCAAACCAATGAGATGGGAAAGTAACTTAACTCAGTTGGTTAATCTGGTGGTAGCCACTGTGTGTGCGCTGAACCGTGGATATCTCTAGTTCCCAGGTTTAATTCTCATCGCTGCCTCTCCTTGTGTTTCAGCTGGAGGGCTGAAATATAAGTTATCCTAGCTCACCGTCGGATGAGACGTTTAAGCCGTTGGTCCCGTGTGCATTATGGCCCATCACTAAGGAACGCAGTACACTCTTTGGGAAAGAGTAGGGGATTTCTCCCGGTGTACTGCCCAATCACCACCAGAAGGACACCACAGTAAATAAGTCATCTTCTAGACTTTCGTGGGCTATCCTTGGTGTTTACACCGTATAAATCCAATCCAATCCAAACCAACATAATATTTCAAATACCAAAGTAAATATGGTAATACCGTACATAAAGGATAAAAATAATAAAATGAAAATAATGTGTGCAAAACTACCATACCCAGCCCACCACGTCGCAATAACCAGGTAGGTTTTAAGGCTCACACTTTAAACTGCTGACAGAGAGTGGCAGTTTTTAATGGGCGGAGGCATGATATTCCATAGAACAGAAAACTAGGGTCAATTCAAAATTCAAATTCAAAATAAATTTATTCCAAATCTTTTCAAAGCATAGATAAACAGTACATATATATATAAAAATGGAATTGGAAAGGGCAACCACAAACAAGCAGAGCTTTACAATAGTGGCGCCCGAAAAAAAAAAAGTAATTAAGATACTATTTCAAATTGACAAAGAATGAGGGCGTGATTTGTAGAGTGTCCTTTTCTAAAGCCGTATTGTGTTTCATTCAGGATTTTATACTTATTTAAAAAAGAAACCGTTTGGTCATAGACAATTCGTTCATAAATTTTTGACATACATGACAATATAGAAATAGGCCTGTAGTTACACATGTCATCCCTTGCTCCACTTTTGAAAATTGGTATAGTTTTTGCAAGTTTAAGCTTCTCCGGGAAAATTCCAGTTGTGAATGATAAGTTAATCATATAAGTCTGTGCAGAAGAAAAAGATAATGCAATACCACGTCATATCTGACTAATGAGGTCAGAATAACAATGATGCCTTACCAATAGAAGAGTCTTTAAGTGCTCGATGAGTCACAGCAAGAGGTGCAACTGTTCCAAATCGCATTATCTCCATGATGGCAGCCTCCGTATATGGCAACTTTCCACGATCACTTACTCGTGGCGGTCTGCCTCCAATGACTTCGTCAAGTTCCATCTTAATTTTTTCCTGTATAGACGGGTTGTCGATCATACAACCGATGCCCCACAATAATGTAGTTGATGATGTGTCCGTTCCAGCTGTCAAAAGGATTCAGAATTATGGCATCATGTCAAACTAGTAACAGGTATTACGTGATTCAAATGAATCGTTTACCTGTTTGGAAATGCAACAAGTTGCTTACCACTGAAAAGATCATCCACAATTTGCTTGATGTGTACGTCTGTCAATTTTCTAGATGTTTCATCATCATTTCCTTGTAATTCTTCTCTCTGTGCTTGTAGAAGTAGCTCTATCAGATCATTAGCAGGCTCATCTGAAGAACATCATAACCTCAATAAAAACGTGATTCTTTTTAAATCGCATATCAGTAGTGTATATCTACTACAAAATGAATACGTTCTACAGAACTCCTAACATACCGTAATTGTTTGCAAAATAGTCTTAAAATTTCCATTAGAAATAGCTCTATTTACCTGGACTATATCTTTCTAAATGCTGACTAACTTCTTTTTCAGTCATTATAGAGGATTCTATTGCCAATTTTTTAAACTTATTAACTGACGGACTATAGGAATGAAATCAGCAAGGGTACCATTTCCAAATGCTTCATTCATTTCTTTTTGTAACTCGATGATTCGACGTAATTCAGGGTCGTTGAATTCATACCTATAGTAAAACGTAGGATATATTAGTGTTCAAGGTTTTATACTTGGCTTTTCACCTTAAAATGCACATGTTTATATACACACAATTTTTTTCTTTGTTGTGTTCATAACGGATTCTGCGTTCATGGACTATAAATTCATAAGTAGACCTTTCATACACAATACAATAATAATAATAACAATAATAACTAGAAATTGCAAATTTCAAGTGAAGTGCTACGAAGTACAACTGCATATAAATGTTCTTCGAACAAAATTATTTATGCGAGTCAAGTGAAAATAATGAATAATAAAAATATAAAAAATAGTATGAGACACGACCCATTGTCTATATTAGAACACTTCTCATTGGGTAACAAAGTCGTAATTTTTCATTTTTGTCAAAAAGTGTCTATAGTGGTGAATTATGGTTTAGGTTTTTTAAATAAAGTTTCAAAAATTTCTATGTATGTGGAAAATGTAGTTGATTACCAAAGGTTACAATTTTTTTTTATTTTTGAAGACTGCATGGTCTAGGAAGTGTACATTTTTTATGGGGCAAGTTTCCAAGGCGGGTGTTCTAGGGGCGAGTTGACTACCAAATAGTGTTGCCAAAGTGCGAGCCAGTGTGTTATTTGATCACAAGTGCGAGACATCGCAAGTGTGAGCCAGCGAGTCATGACGTCACGACAATAGATACGAGACGTTACTCGAGTTGTGCGAGGTATCGGCTGAGATTTGTGGAGTACAATTCAAAAAAACAACTATAGGTTTAATAATGAATTATTGTGATGTTAAATAGACAATGTTAGCTATCAAGGAGAGACGTTGTTTTTCATTGGGACCTTCGTCCCTTCAAGGCTAGGCCTATACCATCCTAGCTAGTCTAGGCCTAGAGTAGGATAAGGCTAGCGCGACATGCGGACGTTGGTACGTGTTGGTTAGTCTACAAACGTCGCCTAAAGTAATTGATTTTACCCGGCAGAACTAAAGAAGGAAACTCCGCTTTTCAGTCGTCTTAGGCTCTTGTTTTTTGACAAACAATGACCTTTCAGAGGTCAAATTGCTGTCAAGAATATGAAGTGGCTGCTTCGCAGCAATAATGATAATAATAATAATAATAATAAATAATTTCATAATTAGTAGACCTTTCATACACTCCATATTTATACTTTAAGTATTATTGTCTTTCTATCTACAGAAGGCAAATACTTTTTTTCGTCCAACATTGGACGAAATGGTAGGAGGTAATAGATACCGGTAGATATCAATTAGATTAATATTTTTAAATTGTCTATTTAAACGGTTCATTTGATATTTACCTATTGACGGTTCCCTGTTTTGTTTTCCATGATGTGCTACTTGTATTTATTATTAATAGATTTATAATAATAATAAATAATAATAATAATAATAATAATAATAATAATTAATAATAATCATAATAATAATAATAATAATAATAATAATAATAATAATAATAATAATAATAATAATAATCGAGGCTTACTTTTTCAAAGAAGCTTACGTACGATAAGATACTTACTTATGGCCAAAGCACATTGAAGCGATTACATTATAGACTGCGAGTGTAATGACTTCATGTGGATCAAAAGGTGTCCCAGCCTTCTGCGTCATGACGCCCTGTATACGTGGTATAATTTCCCTTATAAGATTCTCCAAATATTCACCAGTTGCGTATTTTCTAAATAGAGAACTCATCAAATATTAGTACCATAAGTGGCGCTTACAAAAATTGAGGCTTCAGTTCAGCGCTTATTCGAGAGCAGCGCTTATAAAATAATATTGGCGTAGCGCTTTCCATGCCCGTTCCCTTGTTACCTATTTCACGTATTCCCATAGTTCGGTAGGCCTATCATAAGTCGTACGCCATCGTAAATAAACGTTTATAAAGAAATGTTTGTGTCTTCATTGTGTTATTCATTCATTTTAAAACTGTATACATTGTATTTAAAACTCTATTTCTCAGTGTTTCATTACGTCACAGGGTAATATATACTCTCGATAATAAGCGCCGCGGCCGCGGCGCTTAACGAAAAATAAAAAAATCAGGTTTGGTGCGGCGCATATTTGAGAGCTGCGCTTATTCGAGCATTAATACGGTAATGGTTTATAACTATGTGTTGAAGACAACTTAGGTCACGTCATTCTCTTTTATATCACCCAACAAATTTCACAGTTACGTACACTATCTCTATCTTGCCCATCACGGCAGTTCATACTTTGCTGGCGTACGGTACCACAGATTAAGGTGATTGAAGGTTGAATCTGTTATATCTATGACTGAACGTGGCCGTATACTAACCTGATAGCTGAGTGAGCTAGCTTTCTGTGAAACTTCCAGATTGGAGTTGGTTGAGCAAGAACAATGTCCTTTTGGTTGTCAGTGATCCAATCCACTAAAAAGAAAAAATACTCATTATTATTATTGCATTATTATCTACAATAATAATAATTATCTATAATTATAATATAATAATTATATACTTATGTTTAATTTTGTCTATAGAATATATATAATTTTGTGAACATTGGAAAGCGTTTGTGATGATTTAAAAGATTTATGCTATCAGAAACGTATCGAACGTTAATTCAATTTCCAGCTCAACACTGACAGAATCTAACGTACTTACAAAGATAGAGACTTGGACGTCCACTGAAATCGTTTGGTTTCGACAGCAAGGCTTCTTGTGTCAGTTCGTAATTGTTTATCACCACAGCCCAGTTTGGTCCAACTTTGAAAGAAATTATTGGTCCGTACTTCTTCGACATTTCTCTGAATATTTCATGTGGTGGTGTTTTGCCCATAAATACTTCATTAAAAAAAGACAAATTTTTGCTAAGAACTATTACATTATGATGACATGTGGCAGGTCAAAACATAGTTATGTCGTTCATCATTAGTATCATATACATTATGAAGATTGAAATTGAGATTTTCGCGCCTCACATTTAGGCTGTACTAACGATCAAGATGAAATAGTCCTTAAAAAACTGAACGTAGCGGTAAATTTTACTACGAAGAAATGGGAATTCCGAACTAAGCAATGCGCATGCGCAGTTACCAAATAACATCCGTGAATTATCTTTAAAAACACAGTGAGCATGCGCTTGGAAATGCTAGACATCCAGTGAGCATGTGCATTGAGTAAGTGAGGTTATCGAGTCATGTCGAGCAAGCGCAGTTACCAAAAACACGTCTCAGGAACCAAATAGCGTCTGCGAAGACGTCTTATGAACCAAATGGCGGCTGCAAAGAGAAACGGGAAAACTATATATGTTATGGATTGAAAATAGTAAGAACTCGAGCGGGTGGAAAGCCTCTATTTTGGCTATCTTTACAGCCAGTTCATTAGTGTTCGTCAGGGGGAATTGTAATTAAATTATAGCAAACAAAAAGTATATTAGGTTCTATCGTCGTACCTGCGTACGTAGACCTATATGCATTGACAATCCCATAAAAAATAACCACAGAAACTGACGACACAACTTAGGGCATACTAATAGCCAAGTAGAGCCAGGGTATTCCAGCAGTGAACCGACAATAGCTAAGATGAAACTCTGAAGGTTATCAACGTGGTCGAGCCTGGAGTCTAGGTGATAGCCTAATTAATCTACAATATGGGATTACATACCTTAATAATGTAATATTTATTGATCTATAGGAAAATACAGTTACAGATTTATTTATTGAAACAGCTAACTTAAATACGATAACAACATTTACACATAGGATTTGGAAGTAGCTGCAGTATACACAAATGAAATAAGCTAAGGAAGTTTTTTTTTTAATTTTTAATAGGAAATATTTCTTATTTATTATTCATAAATAACCAGTTGGAGCTAGGATGTTTAACTGTTGTACGCAATGGTTGTGGATTGGAATATTAACCTTGAGGTCGGGTTTGAAACCCTCGCTGGCTGTGCAAGTCGCTTGCGACCATGGGCAATCCAACTTCTCTTCACCCAGGACCTGAGTAAGTGGGTATACGAGGAGGTTCGAGTACAAAATGCGCTGATATATTTCATGCAGTAAACTATGGAATTGCCCCAATAGGCTTCTTTCTAATGACTGGGGTAATAAAGGAGTAAGCGCTTCTAAGACTTAGCGCTATATAAAAACGTAGGCCTATATTATAGTCCTATTATTATATTATTAAATTGATAGATAATATAATTATTCTTATTATATTGACATATACACAATATGTAGTACATTATACAATAATATTGTTACCTGAAACATTTCCAATGATAGGGTAGGGCGTTGGACCAGATGGCATTCCAGTTGGCCTCCGTATGTTCATGTACATCCATGTTATTAACAAGACACCTGCTACTAATAGTAAAGATACACCGGTCGTTATATCCAACATCCTAAATGTAAGTGAAATAAATGGAATATACAATAGTGTAATAGTCAACGATTCATAAACAGTACCGCATGTCAAGTTACAAGGAATGCCAGTTCTGTCCCTTAAATCATAGAGAAAATAGCTCTATGGTTAAATAGACCTAGATAATGCTGCATGCAATAATAGCACCAAGTGCAATATATGCTTGTTGCCAGTAACTGTCTTGTCGCACTGTTGGAAGCATCGTGTAACAACGTGACAAGCCTAAATCCAACTTACATGCTAAAACCTGCTGTGCTTCGTTAGCTGTGCCGTTATAATATTTTACGGCTCGCTTGCTGAATATAATAATGATTATCGGTGACAGAGCAGGCTTTATGGTCTATGCCTTGTGATCGCTATGCAAACATATTCAGCCGTTTTGTTATCAAATCGCAATTGATCATGTGACCATTCTCCTTACAAATGTATTGTGTATAACCAAAAAAACAAATACAATCTGCACTCGTGTTCATGCCAGAACGAAATGCGACACCACTTGTAGATTAATTTGTCATTTCTATTTTTCGCCGATGGAGTGGCTGAAAATTTTAACAATCAATATTTATTTAATATTAGGCCTATTTGATTTTATCAGTATTTAAACGATAACCAACCATAATATGCCCATAGTTTCCTTTTTTATTTATTGTTCTGTGCAATCTTGATGATTTAGCCTATAGATTATAGGATGTTTATATACATTACTGTCAACTGAAAACAATATAAACAAAACAATTCAAGTATAGTTTTTCCCTGCAGTTAACGTTACTGGTGATACTAACCTGATTGGAAATCATCACGAGCATCCCAGTAATTGTGACGTGCCCATGCTAAAGAATACCAAAGTATTTTCAGGTATTGTATTAGCCTAGAACAAATTATAAAATTAATTTAATGAAATTGTAAATAACATACTCTTATATATCCTATGTATGTCAGAAACTTTCAGAAAATAAACAGCAAACTGACAGCACGCGTGCGACTAAACTAGATCTGCACACATTTTCGTGGAATCCATCAAGTGTGTAATAAAAAAATAAAATTTACCGAGAGGAGGTCTAAAATGTATGGCAGGGCCTGAACTAAGTGGTAACCTGGAGCACCTGGTTTGGCTAGTAAGCCAAACTTTGAAGAAAACAATGATGCCTCACCAATAGAAGTGTTTAAGTGCTTTAAGTGCTCGATGAGTAACAACTCAAGCGGTACAACTGTTCCAAATCTCATTGTCTCCATGATGGTAACCTCCGTATACCGCATCTTTCTACGATAACTTAATCTTAGTGGTCTGTCTCATATGACTTCCTCAAGTTCATTCTTGATTTTTTGCTGTACGGGTTGTCGACCATACAGGAAATATACCACAGTATGTTGTTGATGATGTGTCCGTCCCAGCTATAAGTGGCAGCGCCAGCGGGGGACGGGGACTTGAGTCCCCCACCGGACAGGTCAAGCCCACCACCCATCCCACCCTCTTTGCATAGAGCTCGTCGGACAGTCAGGCCATACAAATATAAAAATAGGCCCACACCATGCCAACATAATGTCTGTCACAGTTTGAGAGTGCCATTTCCAAATATTCGATCCTGTGAGCAGAAAGCAGTGGCCGATTGAAGGGTAGGGGCCTTTTAAAAATTCCCCCAAAAAATGAGAAAAAAAAATATTATAATCAAGTTTTTGTCAGAGTGCAATTTCCGGCCTTCTACAGATGCACTAAGCATACTTTTACACGGTATAATTATCATAAGGTTACAAATTCTAATAAAGGTACACACATTCGAGTCGTGTGTTACAGTTAATTCAAATGTTTGTGGACAGAAACACTTGTATCTTGCTATAAAATAAGATGTTCTCTGCCTGTACAGTGGTCTTTCGTTATAATTTTGTAATTATTATCATCATCATCATAATCAATCATCATCATCATCATCTTCATCATCATCATCATCATCATCATCATCATCATCATCATCATCATGTTGGGGTACGTGCATTCGGCACCATATCCTGAACTTAACCGGATTTTCAACATTTTTTTTATTTGAAGAGAGTAGAATTGGCCTATTTCAAATCAGTCAATTTATCAGTCATTATTCTACTTTCTAAAATGTCAGCAATTATTTTACACTATTTGCAATACATTTTTTTTATTGTATTAGGCATTGTTCCCTGGTATTAGCTATAAAAAATTTATTTGTGTTTTTAGGTAAGAAAACATGTTAATAGTCCTATTCCTATATATTATAGGGCCTATTGATGAAAGATCACATCTTGAGTCTCAGCTGGGTCGGCAACACTGATCTCTACTATAATAGGTGGATTGCTCATTAGTTGTTTTTAGTGACGAGATCGACGCCATGGAAGGCCTGAGTGACGTATCAGTTTAGACAAGTTTCGTTTGGCATTTGTTTAAATTATTGTTAAAAAAATAATTATTCTTGCAAAACATCTCTGGATCCGTCCCTGGCCGGAATAAAAATAATTTTTAGTACTAAAGCATATATTAATGACAACAACATATTTCAGGTCATTATAAGATAATGAACTCGTTATACATAAGATGCAAAGGCCAATGAAAAAAATTATTTTTTTTTCGTCGTAGTTAGATAGCAAAAGGAAAAGAACTTGCCTTCAGTCGCCCCACCCCACACCATCGAAAATGTTTGAAGCCAAAACATCACGACCAAAGTAGATAAATATAACCTAATATCACCTTATTACGATGTGAGCTAGCGCCCGTTACTTGATCTTCGAGAACCAAACTTTACCTGCGCCCCCACCCTCTCATCTCCCACCATCCATTTCAAGACTCTAACCCCGGTATTCTTAAAAAGAACTTTAGTCGTAGTTCGAGCTAAAACTTCAAAATTACGTAATTTCGTATTCTTAAAACGAACTTCGACTAGCCCAACGACTAAATCATGCGAACCTCGACTAAAATTATACCTCCTCCAGCCGGTTTTTTTTAGTCAGCCTAGGATCAGGCTAAATCGCCGACTTGAAATTTTTTTGTAACTTACGATAAAGTGAAATGAATAAAAACGATTGTACAAATAGGTCTGATGTATCTTCAGTGTGCTCAAGAAAAGGGACATGACGTTTAGCTTCCAAAAGGCGAAATTAACATGTTTTGCTAGCCACATGCAAAAATTCCTGATTTGCACGAAATCTCCTCGCGCTGCGGTCACGAGCTTCACCGTATCAACAACAGAGATGGCGCCGTCCTCGCTCGACCTTAACTATAATAGTTCTAGTTCTCCAAAGAAAGCAAATTTTCAGTGACAGTTCAAATTCTCTATCGTTAGATGTTAACGACTACGGTAATATAGTTATTATTGTATAATATAGTTTAGGTGGATAATGGTCTACTATAAATTATGAGGAAATATGTTTTTGAAAGACAGGTGGCAGTTTAATATGCTTCCGCGTTACCGGATCTCTAAAATCTCTAAAACTCTTTTCATTAGTTAGTTTGATAGTTGTTGCTTGCCAGCCGTCGTAGTTAGAACTTCGACTACGTTGTTTGTGGATACAAATTGAAGTTGGAGTTGCAACTAAGACTAAATGAATTTCTACTTCGAAGTTTGACTGAAATTCGTTTTAAGAATACGGTCGAAAGTGGACTAAGTTAGTCCATGACTAACTCTAGTCCTGAACTAGTTAGTCCTAGACTAGAGTTAGTCCTGGTTTCGTATTCTCGAAACTTAAACTAAGTAGCCCAGAGCTAGACCCTGAACTAATATGTAAATCATGGAATATCTGAGGTCAAAAGAATATTCTCCATGGTAACGCCTTATAAATATTACGCAACTGAATATCTGTTAGCTCCACACAGACCATGTAGCACAATCTATAAGTTGGTCTAACATAATAGCATGTACAGTATGCAAGTTGTACCAGCCAACTTTGTGAACTTATAACCCTGATAAGGACAAACGGACTACCCAAATTTAAGCACAAATAATATAATACTCTAGTCTAAATGCCTCTTCTTTATTTGTCTTTCAACCCCACTTATAATACAGTATGTAAGTATACATTATTTATTTATTCCAGATCCCAAAAATGTACGGTAAAGAAACACTAATAATGGTCGAAAAGAAATACAATATATATA